CATAGGACACGGAGTGGACACGGGAGGAGTCCAGGGTGCAGGAACTGGAGATGGCGCAATTCTGGGCATGTGAGTTGAGGTGTCCATAGGACACGGAGTGGACACGGGAGCTGGGCAGGTCACAGTTTGTAAGTGCGTAGCCCAGAGGAGCTCTGAGCTGGAGATGCACAATCAAATGTGAGGTCACTGGACAGGGCATGCCTCTTCCTTTGCAGAGAAGTGCGCATGAGCCTTCGGATACTGTCAGCCGTCCATGTGCCTCCCCTGGCTTGGCCCAGTGGGTGGGGCCTAGGGGACGAGCATGGGAGGGGTGTCTGCAAGAGCTCCAGGACATCGGAGAATGCAAAGGCTGTTTTACCAGTCACTGCCAGAAAAGGCAGGTGAAAAAATTGAGCCCATGGTATAAAAAAGGGCGAGGAGAAACTTAACCCAACCCAGCACCCTACGCTGATCAATAAGGTGTACTGGTTCTAAATATTTAGCCCGAACGCGACACCCAACAAACACCTGCTAACTTGAATAGTCCATGTGTCCTAAAAGAATCAGGTCTCTTCCTCCGCGGAAGCTACACCGTTTTCCTTTATCACCTGGGTATTTCGTTGCCTCAGTATGGTCATCGTGGGAATAAGGGAAGCTTGAACACAGAATTTAAAGCACAGCGAAAATTCTGAAATGTCCGCGACCTCTGGTCCTGGTAAAACACATAATGTAGCCAGCGAGCTTGCAAAAGGAAGTGTCTGGAGACCGGAGACTGGATTCTATTCAGTGCAGCAGAGTCTACAAAAACCAGAGAGCTGCCTGGAGTCTGAGCTTTGCAAGAGAACTCTGTGATATTGACCAAGATACTCAGACACGCTAAGCCTCGGCTTCCTCCTCTGCGAAATGGCAGTAATGGGAGTTGTGACTGAGCACGCGTAAAGCACTTAGCCTGGCGTCCAGACGGGGAAAGCTAACCGATGACGGCTGGGTCGATGAGACGGCAGGATGTGAGTGAGGGGAGAGGAGGAGGCAGAGGAGTGGGGGAGAGGCTGGTGGGAGCTCCCATAGCTCTCAGTAAGAAACAGCTCTGTGGACCCCCCCTTCCCCCGAGCCAGCATCAGAGTCCTACTGAGTAAAGGAACATTCCATCAATGTTTGGAACTCATCCACGATCCACAGCAGGAGAGTAAGCTGTGAAACCGGAGAGCCGCCGCCTGGGTCTCAGCGCTTAGACCCAACGGTATTAGTACACGCGTCACCTCTCTGCGTACATGTGAGAGACCAATGGAGCCTCCGCTGCTCATCACAGGGCATTCTGCACGCTCGGGGCGGTTACAGCGAGGGAGGGGAGGGAGCGGATGGAGGAAAAGTAGCGGGGACGTCAGCGGTGTGGGTGGGGGACAATTAGGTTTCGACACTCACAATGGCGCCTGGTCTCTGGGGAGGTGCGCCACCTGACACCTGGCAGCAGAACTTCGCTCTCACTTGGACAGCTACGGAAGAAGCCTCCCAAGGAAACTCCCAACACAGAGGGCACACGCGTGGAGCTGTGAACAGAGGTAGCTGCCGGGCACGCGGCCACTGCCCCATCCTGTCGACACTCCCAGTATGTGGACATAGAGGTCCCTGGCCAGACGTCCGGTGCACCGTGGGCCAGCGCCACTTCCTGGCTCAGGACAGACCGACGCCTACGCACCGAGCAGATGGTTCCCGTGGGCGCTCTCGCGCCCTGGATCCTGGCACTAGAAAGCTGATCCGGGCCCGGCCAGAACCACAGCTTCCCTTCAAGACCCACGTGGCTGGACCGTCTGAGCACCTCTGGAGTACTTCCAGGCCCCGCCTCCTGCCCCACAGCTCTGGTTCGGGCCTCACTTTCAAATCCCTTGGTCTTCCCCTCTGTTCTGCCTCTTTACCGATCTGGGTTTTCTCTCACCTGTGAGCATCACCTCTCAGCTTATCCTTGCCCCCAGCACAGTGTCATGCATTTCCCAGGGGCCTGGTCCCTGCCTTCCCCGACAAACTCCTACTCGCCCCCTTAAACCTGAGTTTATGCAGTGTCTTGGAAACGCCTCCTCAGGAAGAACGGGAAAATCATGTCCCTGCCTCCGCGTTTGCACGAGAGTCTCGCCGCTGGATGCTCAGTGGTCTGCCTCCAGAACAGGACGCT